TGGTGACAAATTTGACATATAAATAAATGAAAATATCCTATCATCAAAATATGCTATCAGTTGCAAAGAAGATAAAAGGAAACTACATTCAAATTTGCAGGTTCTCTCTCTCTCTCTCTCTCTCTCTCTCTCTCTCTCTCTCTGTCTCTCTCTCTCTCTCGTATCATGGATAAAACATTGGGAACCCTTAATAAAGATGGAGTGGTAGAAACAGTGGCAATGGTAGGTTGTAAAAAAGGGAACCTACAACAAGTTTTGGCCGCTATTGGGAAAAGAAATGCAAGATTCCCGAGTTACAATTAATATTATTTCTAAAAGGATAAAAATAAAGGGACTGTGTGCAAGCTATCTTGTTGAGCAATTTGTCTGGAATTTCCTTTACTTCTCCTTTGATTACAATATATTAAAATTTAACATTGCTACAACAATATCCAAGAAGGTTGGATTTTTTTTAAAAAAATGGCCATTTAAATATAAGAGTCCTAGATTCCATATCGATTTCTAACCTAAAATATGAAATGTATGTCTCGGAATTTCATACCTGTTTGTCCAGAAAAATAATTTTTGGTTGCCTCAGCAGTGGTCTTTCCACGACTCCATTAGAGGGTTGAATCCAGACAGAGATGCTGTAAGGACGGACATAGAGGCAACTCTCTGAAGTTGGGCTACTTCCATTTCTTCACCAAAGAAAAAACATCAAAAGAGGAAAAAAACATGATTAATGCTGATTACTTCAGAAACAATTGAAATTATCACCAAAGTACTTGGAGAGAGAATGTGAACAATACTTATCCATCTAGTTATCATGCCTCAGAATTAAAAGAATACCAAATACCCAATCCACTTACTTTGCAAGGTACATAGAAGTGGCATAAAACCCTGGAGAAATTTTTCCTCTTCCATTATATAGCTCAGGGAATAATTTTAAATATTCTTCTCATAATGTGCATTACATGTAGCAGTTGGGTTGACTATATTTATTTAACAACACTGTGATTCTTCATTCTGTAGCTGTACCATGCACATAGGCACCCCACTAAGCTTGTATTCTAGGAGTAAATCAAGCACCTTGGCAATACTCTTTTGCATTTGAATAAAAAATATGCTTCATTTAGGGCCCACATGGCCTCACATCCTTTCCAATTCTTCCTGTCATTATCCTTTTTATATATGCTTCTAATCCACTGCTACAGAGTGGTAACTTGGGGTTTGATATTGCCTCAAAATGAAAGTGAAAAGTATAAAAGCTATTTATTCAGTTCTCCTGGTGTTTGCTTTAAATGTCTACAAACAATGTATTTATTGAGAGCCAATTCACTTTAGTTTAACTCAATTTCTTCAACAGAATTCCTTTGCATTTTGAAGCTTTTACCACACTCTTTGTCTGCAAGGTTTTTGCTCTCACAAATTACAGTAGGGAGGAAAAATAAAACTGCAGTCAGTTTTAAATGGTTAGTTTTCAAACGGCACCTACTGCTTTCTAATATAAGCACTTAGGAGTAATACAGCAGAATAGAGAAGTGGATTGCAGAATATTAGGAGAGAATTATATATAGGAGTTCAGTTCTTAGAAGGACTGTATACCATACATAAGCAGAAAAACTATTTTAGTGAGGCATGGAACCTAACAGATTTTCCCCCATTGCAGGGGGCATATTAAAAGAGAATTTTCTATTCAAGAAAAGTAGTAGTTTCAATATGCATTAGTTTTATCAGCCTTCAATAAGAGTGTCAATACATCATTTTTACTTCTGCTCTTTCCACCTGAAAAAGCATTTGAAAGCCAAGGACTATGAATAACTGATTATAAATCATTATGGAATACACATGGTAGATATTACCCATGTACTGCTATTTGATGTAAGCATTCAGCACCTGGAGCTGCTATCAGAAGGAAGGAACTTGGAAATCCCATTGACTTTGCAAAGGCAGACAAGTAGGATTATGGATTTTAATACAAAATGGTTTTATCTATCCAAGTATACTTTATTTATCCAAATGTAATTTCTACTGTTATGAATTCATGATAGAGAATGAAGATAGATTAGATACACAGGCAGACAGACAGACGCTGGGGGGGGGGGGGGGGGGGG